ATGATGGTGATGATGAAATTGGTGATGTTGGTGGTGCTGATGATAGTGATAATGGTGATGATGGTTATGATGCTGATGATGATGATGATGATGATGATGATGATGTGGATGATGATGGGCATGATGACGATGATGTTGATGATGATGCTCTCGATGGGAATGGCGATACAGATGATGGGGATGAGGAGTTTGATGCTTATGCTTTTGCTGAGGATGCTACTGACGCTGATGACGATGCTGATGACGATTGAGAGGTGGCCGACAATCACGACGGCGATTACGAGAAATGTGATGATGATGATGATGTTGATGATGATGATGATGATGATGATGGTGACAATGATGATGACGACTGGTGATGGCGAGGGCAATGACGCAGACAATCACAATGACGATGACGATGATGCTGATGATAATGATGCCGACGACGATGACGATGACGACGACGATGATGATGATACCGATGACGATGCTAATGGTGATTATGATGCTGATGACGGTGATGATGCTGGTGATGTTGAGGTTGGGAAGAAGGTGGCGACGATGGCGATGATGGCGATGCTGGTGCGGATTGTGGTGATGTTGGCGAGAATGCGGATGACGAGGATGAGGATGCTATTGCGGATGATGTTGTGGATGAATCTGATCCTGATGTTGACGTTGTTGGTGCTGATACTGATGTTGGTGATGGCCATGCTGGCGGTGATGCTGATGAGGATGGTGCGGATGAGGATGTCGAGGAGGACGAGGAGGATGATAAGGGTAAGATGGTGATGGTGATGATGATGGTGACGATCATGATGAGTCTGCTTCCGATGATTATGGGCGTGATGATGCTGTTGTTGATGATGATGCTGGTGACGATTATGGCTATACAGATGGTGGTGATGATGAGGATGATGCCGATGCTTATGATTAGGATGATGCTGATGCTGGTGACGATGCTGACGACGATGCTCATGCTGACGACATTCACGACGGCGATTCCGATAGTTGTGATGATGTTGATGCTGATGATTATGACGAATGGTGATCATGACGGCAATGGGCACAGGCGCTTACGATGACGATTGCGATGATGGTGATGACGATGATGATGGCGATGATGTTGATGATGTTGTTGTTGATGATGATGCCGACGACGACGATGACGACACTGATGATGATGATGATGATGATGATGATGATGATGACGATGTTGATGCTGATGGCGATGGTGATGCTGATGACGATGCTGATGATGATGATGGTGATGATGCTGATGATGATGATGACGATGGTGATGCTGCTGATGTTGTTGTTTTGATGAAGGTGGCGACAATGGCGATGTTGGCGATGCTGATGAGGACTGTGGTGATGATGGCGAGACTGCGGATGACGAGGATACAGATGACACCACGGATGATGCTGTGGATGAAGATGATGATGATGTTGATGATGATGATGTTGATGACGGCCATGCTGGCGGTGATGATGACGATGACGATGGTCGTGACGATGATGATGCTGATGATGAGGTCGATGATGAGGATGCTGCTGCTGATGCTGCTCATGACGATGATGATGATGCTGGCGTCGATGATGGTGCTGACGACGATGACGATTGCGATTCCGTTTGTTGTTGTGACGATAGTGATGTTGTGTTCGTTGTTGTTGATGTTTATTGGTGACGATGACGATGATGATGTTGACGATGCTGATGATGATGGTAATGATGATGACGACGATGATAGTGATGACGCTGTGATGTTGATGGCGACGATGATGACAATGGGCACGATGAGGTACGATGATGAGGCACGACGAGGACGATTATGCGGCGGATGTGATGCAAGGGTTGGGGAAGTGTGCGCGTACTCAGAGCAAGCGGATCTGCGAGGTGCGGCTACCTACCGCTGCCTGAAGCCATCCTGAAACCTTCCTGGACAGGAAAGCTGGGGAAGCCAACGCATTAGATTTGTGTTTTCCCCCGGCCAAAACGAACAATCGAATTGTGGCTAAATTTGTCAAACTTAAATCGCAATACGATTCTTGTTTTTGGCGGCTGCAGCCTTCTGGAGGGCAACTTCTGTGGACCTTCAGAGCTTCCTGAGTTCCATGCGGGCCTCCTGGATCCTCTTGGGGTCTTGGGGGCATCATGCGCCACGCTTGGATCACCTTTGGCCGTCTTGGGACCGTCTTCATGGGTTTCGCGGATCATCCAGAAGCCATCTTAGGCTGTCTTGTGTCGTGTGTTGCCCAGGGAGCTTCCTGGGGTCCTATGGGGCCGCCTTGGTGGAGCCAGAAGTCTTACTGAAGATCCCTTGAGCCCAAATGCAGAGATACTAGTTACTTGTTGATGTTATGTGATTCCCTCATGGCGGCATTTTTTATTGATCGAGGTCAACTACCATTGACACTACATGAGGGGGGTCACCCGTTTAGGATAGTTTCCTCTCGCTGACCTTAACTTACCATCGTGCTTTCTATTGTCCCCACCCTCCTGGGTCCAGAATCTTCAGAGGCAGTTCAACTTACAATGAGCCTGGCCCTATCAGGTTCAGAATGTGGAACCTTCAAGTTGGTCCACGTCCTCGGCCCTCTCAGTTTCAGAATCACAGAATACATCATGTTCAATGGTGGTGGTCCTCACATGTTCATAATGTTTCAATGCCTGCTTTGCTTTTCAGTGACCCGTTGCGTGCCCGCTCGAGGATGGTGCATCCCAAAGTCCGGGAATTTGCGTTCCAGCGGCCGTCCTAGGTGCAAGAGAAGAAGCGAGAGAGAGGAGGAAGAGCAGCAGGAGGAGGAGGAAAAGGAAGAGGAGGAGGAGGAGGAGAAGGAGGAGGAGGAGGGGAAGAGCAGCATGAATGGACGAAGAGGGGAGGGAGAGGGGGGGGAACGAGCGGGGAGGGCCGAGCCCAACTGGCACCAAGGTGCGCGACCGCTCGAGGCTGGCGCGTCCCAGGTCCAGACAGCCGTGCCCGGGGACGTGCCGAAGGCCGTGTCGAGGGACGTGCCGGGGGACGTTCACGCATTAGACGTATCCGTGGCCGTGTCAGGGTTCGTCCCAGGGTGCGTGTCAGGGGACATGCGTGTTTGTGTGTGTGTGTGTGTGTGTGTTTGTGTGTCTGTGTCTGTGTCTGTGTCTGTGTCTGCGTGTGTGTGTGTGTGTGTGTGTGTGTGTGTGTCTGTGTGTCTGTGTGTGTGTGTGTGCGTTCGTGCGTGCGTGCGTGTGTGTTAGTGTGTGTGTGTGTGTCCCCTGTTGCCTTTCCGCCGGAGCAGTCGACCTCTCCCCTGCCGCTGACGCAACAAGTGTGTCTGTGTGTGCGTGTGTCTGTGTATGTGTGCTGGGGGACGTGTCAATGGTCGTGTTGGGGGGCGTGCCAGGGGCCGTGCCAAAGGACGTGTCAGGGGACGTGTCAGAGCACTTTGGGGGTACGTGTCAGGGGACTTGTCCAGGGGCGTTCCTGGGGACGTGTCAGGGGACGTGTCAGGTGATATGCCAGGGAAGGTGCGCGCTCTCTTGCTCTGCGCCCGCGCGCCGCTGCGCGCGCGAGGCTGGCCCAGCGGTTCTCTCGGGGCGCTGCTGGCAAAGTTGGCCTGGGCTTCTCAGGTCAGTCGTCTCCTCGTCACCGCTGTGGCTGTGCGGCAGGCGGCAGGCTCGCGCCGAGCCGGCGAGGCGACGACCCAAGCGCGGGCGTCGAGGGTTGCACGCCACTAGTGGCCGGACCTGGCCGACGTCGAGCGATCTGCGCTGTCGAGAGAAGCCGATCGTTCAGGGTCGATCCATCCACGCGGTGTCAGAAATCAGCGCGTGTGCCGTCACGACACCGGCCTGCCGCAGGGGCGCGACGACGGCTGTATTTCGCGGCCTGGGCCGCAGAGGTCCTCGCTCCCGCTTGATACGTCCTCACAAGTTATGCGCTCTCGCTTGGGACGTCTTCGCAACATACCACCGAGTCGCGGCTCCCGCCTGATACTTCCTCACAATTTATGCAGATGCTGCTCTTCGACACTCAGGAGTCGCGCTCCCGCTACATATTGCCTGGTGGTTCAAGAAAAATTTACGCTACCTATTGCCTGACGTTTCGTCGCCCCGCGCCTTGTTTCCGCACCAGTCTCCGCTCGTATCCACCTGGCCCCACTTTTCAAAAATCTTTCCCAGTCTTTTCTACTCTTTCCCTTTTTCTTCATTGTCATTTCGTTCGTACTCCATTGTGCTCTTCTTCAGTTCTTCGCATCCCGCCCACTCCTCCCCAGGCCACCCCATCCCACCCCAACAATCTCCACCCCTTCCCGCTCGCATTCCGCATTTCTCCCAAATTATTCCCAGTCCCTCCTCCAGATCCGTGCGCCCCCCCGCTCCTCCGCACTCCTCCCGGCTCCTCTTCTCCACTCCTTGCCGCTCCCCCTCCTGTCCACTCCATCCCAATCCACTCCACACCACCGCGCTCCTTTCGGCACGGTTGCAGTTCTCAGTATCTTTCCGCCCCGCTCTCCCAACATCCCGCTTCTTTTCAGGGGTCCACGGAATTTGTCTGACACCAGTTCGCAGGTGCACGTCCCCCCGCGGGGGTATCCACGACATGTTTTTCAAGGGTGTGGTCCGTGGCGCTGTTTATGGCGCGACCCATGGCGAAACTTATTGTTAACCTGTGTTGGAGTGGCTGGCGCAAGCCATGGCGCAAGCTGACTCGCCACTCGCAGCGCAAATCATCGTCCTCCCTCCTTCTTGCCCCTCCCCTCCCTTCCTCCGATCCCTTCGTCCCCACTCTCCCCCGTCATTTGTTACCCTTCGTTTTCAGGGGCTTCACCAACCGCGCGTGGCAGGGAATGAATACACCCCCAAAAAAGGGGGTACGATCGAAGACGAAGAGGGCGGGTATCCAGGGTTTGGGATATGCATATGGAATGACATGCGACCAGATAAGAGCGAACAGTCTTGAAATGATGGTTGTTGTTGCCTGACCTCCAACACTTCGCTCGGCAGCCTTCGCGCCCCCGTGGGGCGGGAGAGGATGTGCGACGGGCGCGGCGGGAATGGATCCCCCGCCGGGGCCCAGGAGCTGCAGTCGCAATTCAAGGCCACGCACTCGCACGTGGAGCAGGAGCGCCAAGGCCGCCTGAACCCGCAGGACCTCCAGGCCGAGGTCCAGCAGCTCGACTCCGAGCGCGAGCAGCTGCAGCAGAAGATCCAGCTCCTTCGGCAGAAGACCGAGAGGGACGAAGGCTTCCAGCAGCTGCTGCAGGTGACGTCCATGCTGCGGAAGGATCGGGGGGCACCGTCTGACCACAGCGCCGGTCCTGACCTGGCCGACCATGTGTCGCTTCGCCTTCCCCAGACCCCTTGACGTCATGGCTTTGTCCTGCGCGTCTACCCCGAAGGTCTCGACCCATTCCCTGGGACCGTTTTCTCGTCCGAAGCCATTTTGTTGGACGGTCCCGAGGCCCCGTGAGGGCCCCCAGATCGGCGACTACAAAGGGTATGGTTGCGCCGAGGGGTGGTTTGCGATCGGCACCGTTGGGGCCTGGGGGTCGCGACCCTGTCCTCGTCGGGCCTCTCCGTGGCGCGGGAGAGCTCTATCGAGGTCCCCGCGCGCCCCCCAGGGTGCCCCCCCAGGATGTTCCCCAGGGTGCTGGTTGCAAACCACACCCTTGGCAAACCACACCTTCTGGAGTCGCCGACCAGAGGCCGATGACGGATGACGGGAGACAGCCCTCCGTCGCGATCCCCTCATGGTTCGAGGGGGGTCTGGGTCCCTGGCCAAGCCGGGAGAGCGCGTGCACCGACCGTGGGCCCAGCGTGGGCACGGCCACGCTGAAGTGGGGCATGATGTCCTACTGCACGAGGAATAATCAAAAACGGTCCCCCAAAATAGTCGGGTGACGATTTTTCTATTATTTGTAACTTTTTGGGTTTTTTTGTTCAGTATGTTGAATTCTTCCTCCGAAATCCGCCTGTAGGGGGTGCCCGACCTAAGGCCAAGGTCGGTGGGAGGCGGCCGGCTGCTCGCCCCCACCCCCCCCGGCAGGAGCAGGAGGAGGAGGCCCGCCTGTCGGAGAAGCTGCAGGAGCAGCGCTTCGCCCTGGAGTCGACGGAGCAGCTGTTCGTGGAGCTCCGAGGTCGAGCAGTGGCGAAGCGTCCTGGCTCGCCTCTAGGCTCACCAGAGAATGGTCTAAGAACCTTATGTGGTTTGCGCGAAATGTTCTTATAACATTCCTGGCTGCGTCTGTCTTGTTCCCAACCAACCTGTGGTGTTGGGTCCTCGTGTTGACTAGACAGCGCCCCGCGTCTCACCTCCTCCCGCTGCCCCCTCCCGCCTCCCCTCCTCCCTCCTCTCATCCGCCTCGTCATCGTCATCGTCGTCATCGTCATCATCGTCATCATCATCATCGCCATCGTCATGATCCACATCATCATGATCATCACCATCGCCGTCGTCAGCGCCGCGCCCCTCACACGGTTCGTGGCACCACAGGAAGCTCCACCGAAGGCCAACGTGGCAGCGGTTGCGTGCGTCACCGCCGCCCCATTTCGGCACATCCCTCACACGGCTCGTGGCCCCATAGGGAGCTCCACCGAAGGCCTCAGCGGGAGCGTCCGCATGGCACCGCCGCCCCATGTCGGCACATCCCTCACACGGTTCGTGGCCCTCATAGGGAGCTCCACCGAAGGTTCCAACGGGAGTGTCCGCATGGCACCGCCGCCTCATTTTGGCACATCCCTCACACGGTTTGTGGCCCCCATAGGGAGTTGCACCGAAGGCCCCAGCGGGAGCGTCCGCATGGCACCGCCGTCCCATTTCGGCATACCCCTTACACGGCTCGTGGCCCCCATAGGGAGTTCCACCGAAGGCCTCAGCGGGAGCATCCGCATGGCACCGCTGCCCCATTTGGCACACCCTTCAGACGGTTTGTGGCCCCCATCGGGAGCTCCACCGAAGGCGTCAGCGGGAGCGTCCGCATGGCACCGCCGCCCCATTTTGGCACACCCCTCACACGGTTCGTGGCCCTCATAGGGAGCTCCACCGAAGGCTCCAACGGGAGTGTCCGCATGGCACCGCCGCCTCATTTTGGCACATCCCTCACACGGTTTGTGGCCCCCATCGGGAGCTCCACCGAAGGCGTCAGCGGGAGCGTCCGCATGGCACCGCCGCCCCATTTCGGCATACCCCTCACACGGCTCGTGGCCCCCATAGGGAGTTCCACCGAAGGCCTCAGCGGGAGCATCCGCATGGCACCGCCGCCCCATTTGGCACACCCTTCACACGGTTTGTGGCCCCCATCGGGAGCTCCACCGAAGGCTTCAGCGGGAGTGTCCGCATGACACCGCCGCCTCATTTTGGCACGCCACCCACACGGTATGTGGCCCCCATAGGGAGTTGCACCGAAGGCCCCAGAGGGAGCGTCCGCATGGCACTGCCGCTCATTTTGGCACGCGGCCAACGTGGCAGCGGTTGCGTGCGTCACCGCCGCCCCATTTCGGCACATCCCCCACACGGTTCGTGGCCCCATAGGGAGCTCCCCCGAAGGCCCCAGTGAGAACGTCCGCATGGCACCGCCGCCCCATTTCGGCACACCCTTCTTACGTTTCGTGGCTCCCACAGGGAGCTCCACCGAAGGCCCCAGTGATGGCGTCCGCATGGCACCGCTGCCCAATTTCGGCGCACCTCACACGGTTAGCGGCCCGAGCGGGGGCTCCACCGAAGGCTCCAGCGGGAGGGTCCGCATGCGTCCCCCCCGCCCATTTCGGCACGCCCTTCACGAGGATCGTGTCCCCATAGGAAGCTCCACCGAAGGCCCCCGCGGCAGGGTCCGCATGCGCCCCCCCGCCCATTTCGGCACACCCCTCACGAGGGTCGTGGCCCCGTAGGGAGCTCAACCGAGAGTGGTACCCACAACGCGGCATTCACAAGTGCATATGGTTGGGTCCTTCGCCAGGATAAGTTTAACACATCGGGTTAATGGTCTAAGAATATTGTTTTTGTTATTGGAGTATTTTGGGGTTCCAAGAACATGTCGTGGCAGGCCTATAGGAATGCCGGGACGGTCGGTCCCTGCTCAAAGAGGAGGCAAGGGTACGGATACCTATGCCCTTCCCTCGTTTTCCTCCTTTGGGGCCTCCTGGGAGGCCCTCGTCGCCTCCGCTGGATCGGCCTCGGAAGGTTGGTCAGAACGCACCCCGGGAGAGGTCGGGGGGTAGCGGTATCGGTACTTTGTGGTTTCCCCAGGAGCGGTCGGGGCGCTTGCGCGAGATGCGCGAGGCGCAGCAGGAGGACTCCGCACGATCATCATCATCATCATCATCATCATCATCATCATCATCATCATCATCATCATCATCATCATCATCATCATCATCATCATCATCATCATCATCATCATCATCATCATCATCATCATCATCATCATCATCATCATCATCATCATCATCATCAGCAGCAGCAGCATCATCATAATCATCATAATCATCAGCACCATCATCACCATCATCACCATCATCATCAGCAGCAGCATCATCATCACAGCATCTCTGGCTCAGGCACCTGCCTTTTCGAGGGCTTCTCGGGCGCTCCTGCGCTCACTGCGGCGACGGGTCCTCCAGGGAGCGCATCTACATGTCTCGACGTGCTGTTCGTCGCTCCCAGGGCGTTCGAAAACCAAGTTTGAGCTTATCTCAGGTGGCATGCGCTGCTCGACCATGTCACAGTCGGTGGCCCTGGAGACGTTAGCAGGCGTATCGAGGCTGGCTCAACAGCACACTGCTGTGGACGGGGGGCATCGTCACAGTGATGGTCGTCAACGGGTGTGTATTTGGCTTTCGCCTCGTTTGGATTGTCCGCCTAATGGACAACCTCATGCTGATGGCTGGGATGACGACGGAGGTCCTGATCACGATGGTGACGATCGTACTCGCGGTCGCCGTCGCGGTCGTGATGTATTTCCTTTTGCCCCTCCTGATCCGTGGCTCGACCCTCGGTACGATCCATGGGCTGCGGCAGCGCTGCAAGACGGTGTTGATCGTGCGTGCAAAGCCCCACGATGACATGGAAATGGAGATGCGGTACCTCAAGCGGACGGTACTGCAGTGCATCTGTTGTTGGAGATTCCGCTTTTGCCGTTCAGCAATGCAGCGCTGGTCTTCTTTCCGGATGGCGCCCACGTTGCGCATCAGGCGGCTCGTGATGACGATGCTAGTGATCAACAACGTGTTGCGCCTGAGTTTCCTTCCCCTGGTGGCTGCGCTAGTGAAGCTGCTCGTGACGCACATGGTATGCTTGATCTGGCTTGTGAGAACATAGAGAAAATCAATGCAATCCTTCGTGAACTTCGACGACCATCCTGTGCCTCTCGTCGCACTCGGCCGCGGCCTCCGCCCATCAGCGTGGAGGGGACTGTCGGTGATGATGAGATTCTCTATATCACTTTTCGTGGTTCCCGCGTACCTGCTGAAGCTTACTGGCAGAACCGTTCGCCATTTGTGCGCACTGCGATCGAGTTCTCCTAATAAAATCCCGGGCTGGAACAGCCTGGTGCGCTCGCCGAATATACGGATGTGGAAGTCCGTCGCTCAAGGTAACCCGCACGAGCACTACTGGAGCGCCTCCTGACAGAGAAGCCTTGCTGAATTGAATCGTGATCAACACGATGTTCCCGTCGACGCGAATAGGAATACTGACAACGGCTTGGCCGCTTTCCTCGAGTCAATTTCCAGCCCATGCGCTTCGCCCCGTTCTTGTTGATCGGCCAGTTATTCTTCCTAGGTGTCAATGACTCCGTCGTACCACGCAGCACCTGGTCTGGTTGTTCGGCGGCTTCTTCGGCTTCGCGGGTGTCAATGGCATTTTCGGCGGTGTTGTGCTGCATACATGGTTCGTTCGCTCTCCCTCATTACCCCATGCGGGGCGGTGGGGTCTCCGAGTATTGAGGCACCGTAACTTTTGGGGCGATCTGTGGAGAGGGTGAGAAATCATCATCATCATCATCATCATCCGCATCATCATCAACATCGTCACCATCATCATCAACTGCACCCTGTTCATCGTCATGATTCGCAGCAGCAGCAGCATCCCCATCCGCATCAGCATCATCGTTATCAGCATAATCCGTACCATCAGTCTCGTCACCGTCATCGTCATCATCATCATGCCATCCTCATCATCAAGGTCAGCATCGGTTTCATCATCATCTTTATCGTAACCATCATCAACAGCATCAACATCGTCATCGTCATCGCCATCATCATCCTTCGCATCCTTCTCCTTCTCCTTCTCCTTCCCTGCCTCCTCCTCACCATCCTCATCTTCACCATCATCACCACCATCGTCATCATCACCACCACTCTCATCATCACGGTCAGTATCAGTATCAGCCGTGTTACCACCACATTCATCATATTCAGCTGAGCCTCGTCGCCAGCACCTCGTCGTCATCAGCGTCACCACCAGCAGCATCACGATCATTCGAGCCATCATCATCATCATCATCGTCGTCTGTCACGGCCATCGTCATCCTCACCCTCATTTTCATCATCATCTTCTTCATCACCATCACCATCACGCTTAACATCGTTATCATTATCAATATCATCATCACCCGCATCGTCATCATCATTATCACCACCATCATCATCAGTAGCACCATCACCCGTTCGATCAAACGGTGTACAGCAAGAGTGAGCACGAATACCAACAACAGGTCCTGAACATTTTCAGCAGGACTCGCTGTCAGTGTCGCTGTGGACGTTTTCCATTTGAAACAGAAGGTCGCCTGCCAGCAGCGGCCGCTGTCGGTTTTTGCACCCGTTGCTTGGCATTGTACCGTTTTCCCCTATCGTGGGGGAACGCCCTGCTTGCCTCCAGGGTGCCCCGGGTTTCTTGGGTTCCGATGCTTTTGCGATTAAAGGTGTGACGTTCCCACACCAAGAATCCATTGTCGCGTTTGGGGTCTCAGGGTTGGGTTTTTTTTGTGGAAGGTTTATTGTGGAATGTTTATTGTGGAACGTTTCCTGAGGTTTAGACACCAAACCACACTCCGTGCTTAGCATCGTACCTTTGTTCCCGTGCCCATTTCAGCTGTCCAAGAGGACGGGGAGGGCAACGCGGAGGCGATGCTGAAAATGCTCCGGGGCGAGGTGAAGAAGGGCCGGGATCAGCTCGGCCGTGTGCGCAAGGATCGGCTCGGGCCCGAGTCCGTCCAGCAGCCTTCGGCCCCTAGCGGGGCGTTCAGAACGCCACTCGAGGAAAACGTCCGAGTCGAAACCTTCTCCTCCTCCTCCTCCTCCTCCTCCTCCTCCTCCTCCTCCTCCTCCTCCTCCTCCTCCTCCTTCCTCCTCCTCCTCCTCTCTCCTCCTCCTCCTCTCTCCTCCTCCTCCTCGCTCCTCCTCCTCCTCCTCGCTCCGCTCCTCCTCTCTCTCGTCCTCCTCGCTCCCTCCTCCCTCCTCCTCCTCCTCCTCCTCCTCCCTCCTCCTCCTCCTCCTCCTCTTCCTCCTCCTCGCTCCTCCTCCTCCTCCTTTTTCTTCTCCTCCGCCTCCTCCTCCTATTGGCGCCAGCAGGCGCTAGGAAAGCCACCCGAGTAGGGAACTGTTTGATTGTCCTGGGGCCTGGGAATGGTTTTCGCGTCCCAGGGCAGCCGAGAGACGATCCAGGACACAGGACCTGCCCCAGGGGGTAAAACGGGTCGGGCGCGCCAGGTGGGCCCGCACGGAGGAGATCTAGGCGTCGGGCCTTTGGGAGTGGTGGTTCTGCAAAACCTCGTCCGGGCCCGCAGTAGGGGTCCCCCCCGGCACTGGACCGCGCGCTCGGAGTGGCCCCCCCTCCTTTCGCGCGGCCCCCAACAGCCAAGACGCTGGAAGAAGGAACAGCTTGGGTTCGGAAGGGGCTCGCGGTTCCTCTAGCCCTCCTCATGCACCCAGATTCTTCTGGTGCCCACACTGGGCTTTGTTCCTTATTTTGCGTTCCTTATTTCAGCAGTCCCACTGTAGAGCCGCACAACCGAGGTCACGCCTGCTTACCAGGAAGCTGGATATCGATGACGTGGCCGGTCTGAGCGAGAGCTGGGAGGACACGTGGCCACATGTCGTTCCAGCGCCCTGCCCGTCTGATGGCAGGGTACTGGGGAGTAGCTTCTGCATGTGGATCCATCCTTTCGCGTTTCCATCTTCCTGGTAGGGTAGCCTTGGCGTGTAGCCGAAAGGAGATCGAGGAGAAGCACGAGCAGCTCGGCAAAATCGACGCGGCTCTCAGCGAGCCACCCGTGTCCAAGGCCGACATTGACAGCATAGAGCAGGACATCCACAGTATGCGGGAAGATAAGGAGGCTCTGGAACGTAAAATCGAGGAGCACAACCAGGATTCTCGTCTTGCTGTGTACAAGCAGCAGGCGAACCTCGTCGCCAAGAAGAAAGAAGTCGTCATGAAGGACAAGAAGGCCCTGGAGGACGACCGCGACGGTCTCAGCAAGGAACTGTCCGTGAAAGAGCGCGAGTACGAGCAGATGAAGGGCCACAAGTTCATGAAGAAAGATGAATTCAAGAACTACGCCGCCTCCCTCCGGGACAAGTCGGCCAAGTTCAAGAAGTTGAAGACGGAGCTCAGCGAGATTCGGCACGAGGTCGCGGTGCTCGTCCGCACGGAGCAGCTGCTGCAGGCCAGGGACCCGACGCCCGCTGGCCAGAAAGACACGGAGTCGATGTTGGAGAAGGTGTCGGTGCACAAGTCGGAGGTGGATCAGGCCAAGGGCAAGACACTTGATCAGATCACCGAGATAGTCCAGCAGATCAAGCAGAAGATCATGGAGAAGAAGAACAAGCTCGCCCCGCAGATCAAGGCGCTGCGGGCCGTGCGCCAGAACTTCCAGCAGGTGGAGGTGAAGTACCTCGAGAAGAAGGGGGCGTACGACCAGGCTTTCTCCACCGTGGAGTCGGACCTCTCGAGGCTGGCCGGAGAGGTGAAGCAGCTGGAGGCGGAGGCCAATGACAATGAGCGCACGTACCATGAGCTCAACATGCAGATGGGCGTTGCCGAGCTCAAGTTGCAGCGGGCGAAGCGTGAGGGCAAGTTCCAGCGGAAGGAGGGTGGCGCAAGATATTCTGACGAGTTCGCGACGCTGTCGGATTGCTACCAGTCCGAAATCACCCAGCTCGACAAGCAGTGCAAGGACCTGCGGAAGAAGAAGGACATGGTGATGGACAACTTCGACGCGAAGCTGAAGCAGAAGAAGGCCTTCGTGCAGCTGGAGAGGCTCATGGCGGTGAAGCTCAAGGTGAGCGACGGAAGAACACGGCCGCCTCGTAAGTAAGCTCGTGAGCTTCCAGTGGAGGGCAGCGCGTAGACGCCCGGCCTCCCCACGCGGTGTGCCACACCAGCGGCCTGCATGAGCCGACGTACAAGGTCGCTCCAGTCGAGATTGATTGGTAGGTCGACCTTGCCAGGATCAGGGGTACCCCTGTGTCCTGTGCTTCGCGACCCATGCCCTGCCACATTCCTACGCGAATGTGGCCCTCGGAAGGGTCTTGTGTCTTGTGTCCTCCCGCGCGTCCTCGGCGTCACCCCAACATGCTTATACGATGCTGTCAAGTTATTCGTTGCCGCAAACTTAAATTTTGCGAAGGCGCCGGGCCAACATGCCCCGCAAACCGAAGGCTTATTGTGACATCTTTTTATGTGGCAGAGGCGCTGAGCGTTTGACCCCCGAGAGCGAAAACAAAACACTGGCTTTGTTGTTCGGCATTGGCGTGGCCAGAAATTGCTTTGGGCTGGATGCCAGCACAATTCACGGCACAATTCGCGGCATTTGCGATGGCGAAGGCGCCACGGTGACCCCGCGGCCTTTCGAAGACGGCCCCTGGGACACTCCCAAGGCCCTGAGAAAACCCAAGAAGAGGAGCTGAACAACTGCCAATCACACACAGAAGAGGCCGAACAGACCCGAACTGCCTCCCAAGGGAAGCTCTTAGTGTAGTCAAGTTGCGCGGCATTGTACCCAAACATCGAGGCTCTGTTTTTGTATATACAACTGTCCCATTTCCCACGCCGGGCGAACAAATAAGCTTGGCATGATTGAATTTGGCGGGGGGCGGTCGCATAATTTTCTGCAAACGAAAGTTTGTACGCCGCACGTCTTAATTCGGCAGGGGTCTTGGCCAAAAGTGCCGCACGAAGAAAACAAACATAATCTATAACATTGGCAGTATGTGCGTCGCCCGCCCAGGGGCAACGCGCGCACCGAGAAATCTTATAGTATGTGCGTCGTGGCGGACGCTTTCTGGCCACACCGCTCGGGAAACGATACACTACAAGATGGGTATACTATATGTGCGGGTCTGACGCACGCCTCCAACACGGACATAAAGTGAGCGGCTTGAACAAGGAACACTTACTTTTCAAAAAGGGTTCGGCCGTTCCTTAGGCTTGCATGCGTTGTTTATCGTTCCGTATGCGTTATTCATGATACCTGTGTGTATATATCTATAACATCGTTCCTTGTGCGCTTTGTTTTGGAAAGAGGGATTCAGGTCGATGACTATATAGTACTCGCATGCCCTTGTGCCGCCTACGTCCTCCTCCAACGACCTCGGCTGTCTGTCTTCTGGCTATGTGCAGGTGGCCAAGCAGGAGCTCCACAACCAGCGCTACGGCATGCCCGGCTCCGCCCTCGAGGAGCGCGGCGGCGGCGTGGAGCGCCTCGTCATCGACGGGCCGTACTGAGTCCACCTAGGCCTCCTGGATGGGGTCGGAGGATCGCGCCGCATCGCCGATGCATCGGCGATGCGGCCCGATGCGGAGCCCGACTTGCTTCATGTCGACGTCGCCGATGCATTGCCAACGTCGACGATGCATCGCCGTTGCATCGCCGCTGCATCGCCGATGCGTCGACGATGCGTCGCCGATGCATCGCCGATGCGGCGTGATCCTCCGACCCCATCTATTCGGACCCCATCTAGGAGGCCTCTAGTCCAGCGAGAGATCCTGCAGCTCGCGTTGACGCTCCACCTCCTGGGCTGTCCTCCTCTCGGCGGCAAGCGAGGGCGGGAAGCGAGAAGAAGGAGGAGGCCTTCTCAGAAGGCGTCGGGGCTTTCAGAAGCGCTCCTGCCTTCCGACAGGTGTTCCGCATCTTCGGGGAAGGTGTGAAAAATCTATCGGAAGGCCCGAGGCCTTCTGAGCCTTCTGAGCCTTCCGAGAAGACCTGCCCCTTCTCGCTTCCCCCTTGGGTTCGCCGCCGATGCTCTGTCTTCGACCCCAGCGGAGCGGTGGAGCTGACACCTGCCCAGGTTTCCGACGTTAGGATTGGTTCAGTCCCGCCGTTTCCCTCGATTACGATCTCCGGCGCTCGTTCCCGGGCCCCGGGGCAGTCAAACATGAACCTGACGTGACCCCGGGGAAGGGGTCGGGACCTCTGGTCAGGGCGCCGGAGACGGTTGGCTATCCCCCTGTTCAGGCGGCCCTGGGCTCCGTAGACGGCGGCATAATCAACGGGAGAATACAGTGGGACCCGTGCCGAGAAACACCTTGCTCGCCTCCAGGGTGCCCTGAGTGTCTTGGGTTTCGATGGTTTTGCGATGGAGAACACGACGTTCCCACGCCAAAAATCAATGGACGTCCTGGGGTATCATTGTTGGAGTTCTTGTGGGAGGTTTGTTGTGGCAGAGCCCCCACTATATGGAAAAGCGTAGGCCCATGTTTAGCTATGGCCCAGTTTAGGGTGCGCTGACCTTGGGCCGTGGGTTGAGCAGGCTGCGCCGGCGGATGTCAGGGTGGCCAGGGGCGCGCGGAGGAGGTATGCGCAACCAGCGAGAGCGGGGGGGCGATGCGCAGCCGCGCGAAGGAGGGGGAGGAGGAGGAGGAGGAGGAGGAGGAGGAGGAGGA